CATATGTTTAGTAAGCGGAGACAGGATAGCTCGTGCTATAGACCTAAGCACTGGGACACATAAGAAAATGTGGGTGTGGGCTTCTCTAGAGAGTTCTCTTTAAAATGTCTTTTCAATTACTATATATGTGATTTTGTAGTCTTTTACTTTGCGTGTGTGTTTGTGTACATACATACACATACATGAATATGTCATGGAACACTTGTGGAGGCCAGAGGAGAGCTTGTGGGAGTATGCTCCCTCGTTCCACCACGTGGATCTCAGAGCAAATTCAGGTGTCAGGCACCTTTACAAACTGAGCCATCACACAGGCAGTTTGTGGCTTTTTAAGTTACGTTATTCAAAGGATTAATTTTAAGCAGGTTTTAAAGGCTAAGCAAGGTTTTAAAAGTGAATAGAGTTTAAAATTTAAGTAGAAAATGGGGTTAGGGACATGGCTCAGTAGACGAGTGTGAAGATCGGAGTGGAAAACCCCAGACCCCACAAAAAATCCAGACACATAGTGTAAACATCTGTAACGGAGCCGGGCGCAGTGGCGCACACCTGTGATCCCAGCACTTGGGGAGGCAGAGGCAGGTGGATCACTGTGAGATCGAGGCCAGCCTGGTCTACAAAGCCAGTCCAGGACAGCCAAGGCTACACAGAGAAACCCTGTCTTTTAAAACAAAATCTGTAATCTGAGACTTCCTGCCACGAGACAGAAGATAGAATCAGGAGGATCTCAGATGCTCACAGGCCAGTGAACCTGGCATACACAGGAGCAGGGGTAGGGAGACAAACAAGGTAGATGGCAAAGACTCACACAAATAAAAAACACTAAACATGAAAGACGAGCTAGTTTACTGTTTTGTCTTATTGTATGATAAACTAAGGAAGTTTTATACGGTCAATTATCTAGATTTGCAGATCATGAATGAGTGCCAGTATAGTTAAGCTCAAAGCCACAAAACGGGTGTTGCCAAGGAGGCCTGTTACTGCTTTTAATATACTTGTTTGAGGTGTCCTTAGGGTTTCTGTTGCTGCGATAACACCATGACCGAAAGCAGCTTGAGGAGGAAAGGGTTGATTTCAGCTGCGGCTCCCCGTCACAGCCCAGCCCTGAGGGAGGTCAGAAGAACTCCAACAGGCCGGGAACCTGGAGGCAAGAACTGAAGCTATAGACATTGCTAGCTGGCTTGGTCCCCGTGGCCTGCTCAGCCAGCTTTCTTAAAGTACCCAGGACCACCTTCCCTGGAGTGGCACCACCCACAGTGAGCTGGGCCCTCCCCCATCAATCAAGAAACTGTCAGGCTTGTCCACAGGCCAGTCTGGTGAGGGCTTTCTCTCAACTGACTCTAACTTGTATTGAGTTGATGTACTGACCACAGAAAGCACACCCTCACACCAAGGGCAATGGGCTTTGACTCTCAGCCGTCATGGAACACGAACTGGATCCTAGAATGAGGAGCTTCCCTCTTCCCACATCTGCTTAATTTCTCCTGTCTTTCTATCCTGTCTCATTTTGGACACATCCCAGGGACCTGTCCCTTGATTCTTTGGGGGGAGGGGGGGAGTGGAGACCCTTCATGGAATTACCTTGTCACCTTTCCATACTTACCCCCCAACAAAAAGGAAAACCTGCAAGCCAAGAAGGGAAATCTCATCTGTGTAATTCAAGCCAGTGAAGCGTTCTCCCTCCATCTTCATAACTTCAGAGTAATGAGCCCCATTTAATTGGGTGACTGAATCACATATTTTTTTCTTGTTGCTGTAGCAAAGTACCTTAGCTGGCATCTGAGGCTCATGATGGAATCAGCTGGGCTCCAGTGGCCTTGAGCTACTCTGATCCCCAGCACACTGGTGTGTGTGGCCCCTCAGGCTATCTCCACTCCATACCTACAGCTTTCCTCCAAGTATATACATGTTTCTAGCATCTCTAGTGTCCTCATGTCTCCAATGAAATCTAAGCTTCACCTTTTCAACTTCAGGTAATGGCTTCTTAGCCAGCCCAGTGTGTAGCCAGACCACCTTGGGCCACAGTAACAGTGACCTCTGTGTGCCTTTGAGGCTGAACCTGAGAAAACACTTCCCTAGGCGGCTGTCTTTGACCAGGGAGTCCATCCAACAGCATTCTCAGTGCTGTTTGACTCTTGCAAATAAACTTCTCTTTGATCAATGGATCCCACTGTCCGTGTAAGGCATCATGGGTTGCTGGAGTCAAGGTCCTTGAAAGCATGGTCTGGTGGTTAAAGTGCCTTTTGTTCCTATACATACATGGCATAGTTGTCACAGTTGATAAAACAATGTGCTGTATTATTATCGTTATCATCACATCCTCCTTGGTTCTGCCTGATATTTTTTCCATTTCAGGAGCCCACCCAGGACCCCACAACTACATTTAGTCTTCATGTCCCTTAGGCTCCTCAGAGACATGGCAGTTTTTTACCATTGTGTGTGTGTGTGTGTGTGTGTGTGTGTGTGTGTGTGTGTGTGGATGAGACAGATGTGAACATCGGAGGACAACTTTATGGAGTTGGTTCTCTCCTTCCACCTTTCAGTGGGTTCCAGAGATGGAGCTCAGGTCACCAGGCTTGCGTGGCAAGCACTGTACCCACTGAGCCATCTCACTGGTCCAACCCTGATGGTTCCAAGGAGTGCTGGCCAGATATTTGAACTGTTCCTCAACCTGGGACTTTTCTGGGGGTTTTCTGGGGTTTTTGTTTGTGTTATAATCAAGCTGAGATTAAAGGTTCAAGGGGGCAAACTGCAAAGGTAAGGTGCCATTCTCCTATCAATGTAGAAACTGTCATCGTGACTCTAACATGGCCAGCAGACTGTGATCTCCTCTCTGAAACACTCCAGTTCTGTGCTCTGTAAGACAGGGAGATTTTCTTTTAAGTCTTGCTTTTTTGTTGGGGAAGAAGAGTTGAAACAGGGTGCGCACCAGCATGCCCGGGATTTTAACCCTCTTTTTTGGTTATTTTGAAATTCGAAGTACGTGCTCTTCACTAAAGTCACATGATGCACAGTAGCTTCCCTGGGGTGGTGGGGGGAGGGGTGCTTCTTGACAACTTCTCTTCCTCCCACAGATAGCACTTTGAACTCTCCAGCATTTTCAGGAGCCCCCTTCTGTTAACTGGGCAGAGTCAGGAGCCGGCAGGACTCTTTTCTCTCCCCTGATGACAAGATGTCCCCTGAATATTGATGATCCTGTCTTATGCAAGGCTGTCTTGACCTTTCTGACCCTCTAATTCCAACTCTTCTTTTGTCTGGGGAGTCTTCGAGGGCCCCCATCACTTGCTGGTGCACACCGCCCCGGCTGACTTTATTCATTTCTAGAACAGAGCCTTTGCAGAAGGGCCACACCTCAGTCTTCAGGGACCAGTTGCCTCCAGCCTTTTTCTGTCCTGTGGGATGGGAGCTTTGCGGCACTCCTCCTGTGTGCTTGCTCCCTTTTTCTTTGTTGGGGGAGAAGCTGTATCTATCACAGAAATCACAGTGCCATAGAAAGAGGCAGGCAGGAAGGGCGACATTTAAAGCCTGCTTCTCCACCCCACCCCTGTGTTGAACCCCAGGATGATCACTGAATACCACGTGGGAGTGTTGTTTCACTCACTACTGTCTCTAGCAAGCCACTCTTAAACTTAGAACGGAAATCTGTGTTCACCCCCGATTCCATTCATAAAACCAGAGTTTGAAAAAAGGGCCATTTGTCAATCAAAGGTTAAGCTACCTTAGCCAGGTAGCTTGGCTAAGGCTATGGCATCCACTTCCATACTGATCAGCAGCATTTGGTATTGGCTGTTAGCTAGAGGTTCACTGGCACTGACTACCAGGGTTCGGCCTCAGTTCCCTTCTATGTGGTCCCTTTTCTGGGCTGCTCAGGTTTCCAGACAGCTTGCTTCCTGACTTCTAAGAGTAAGTACCTGAAGAGTACAAGAAAGAGACCACACCCCGTCACATCTCATCTCAGAAGTCATTCAGCCATAGTCACTGGGCCCACCGTACTCAGGGGAGGGAACAAAGACGACCTCAGAGGAGTGCCAAAGTCACTTTGAAGAGGAATGAGCAAGTGTAGATGTGCTATTATGGTCCCTTGTGGAAAATAGGAATTCCACTGCAGACGGGGATAGCACGCATCTCATTCTTCAGCAGGTATTTATTGTAGCTCAGGCTGAACTAGACAGGAGGACTGTAACATCGAACCTGACACCATTCCAACCCTGGTGCTCTAGACAGAGCGTAGATAGGAAGTAGATCAAGCCTCAGCTATTTCCATTCAGAGATGAGCTCAGAGATTATAGCCCCTTCCAACAACCCAAATGTTCCCTGCAAAGTCTTCCAGGCTGAGGAGCCTTCTAAAGACAAGGAAGAAAATATTTGTTTGGCCTAAGTCAGACTAACTAAGGCAGGTAAGCAAAGCCTGAAGATAAAGGCTGTGGAACGGCCTGCATGCCGCTGCATTTGGGAGCGTAGGATTTTAAATCATGGTCATCAATAACAATGGTTATATCCTCAATAATAATGAGATTGTCTTTATCTGACATTCCTCTCCTCATGTTGGACTTTTTCCTGAATCAAAAATCCCTCAGTCTTGAGAATCTCTTGAACATCAAGGATCAAAGAAGCCTGGGCTTTTATCCTAAACTGCTGTGTGGCATCCTTTCGACCTTAGACAAATGGTTTACCCATATAATAGCTGGGAGATGATTTGGGGACATGACCTTCAATTTTACCATGCCTGTTTCTCATTCCAAAAAGAGGGGCTATGTTCTCTGTGTGTGTGAGGTCAGGAGGAGCCGGGAGAGAAGAGCGGGGGGGGGGGGGCATGAACATGGGCCTGTGAACACACAAATGTGCATGCATGCTTATGCGTGCGCATACATGTTTGGCCAGAGAGCCGTTATCCGTCAGCTTCCCAGAGCTACAGCACAAGATAAGCTCACGTTGGCCAGAGGCCACAGGTGCGTCAGGGCACACAGGCCCGACTCACGTGGTTTTCTTGCTTGCCTGTGTTCTAGAGACTGTGCTCTGGGAAGCAGTTCCCAGTGGAGTCATGGACCTCATCAGTCCAGCTGTTGACCCCGTGATCTCCGGACATTTCTGGAACCCACCAGGTGACGGCCCCAGTTAGCTTGGATTACTGAGCTGGTAGTCTGCCCTTCAGGCCCTGTGAATGGATGCCCAGCTTGTTGGGAGAGAGCTGTTGGAGTGTGGCTGCCTGGAGGGGGAGGAGGGAGCAATGAAGATCTGTGCTATGAGCAATTTAGTCAAGGTCAGAGCAATGACCCCGGAACTCAGTGATGTCTGCTTAATTCTAAGTAAAACCATGCTCCGAAGAGCTAGACTTTATATGTGGTCTTGAAAATAAAAGGAGTCATTGGAGTTCAAAGGGCAGAGCTCACTCGAGTTCTGGAAGCACACCAAGTATAAAAAGAGAGGTGGGAACATCAGTGGGACTAGCCAGGAAGTGTGTCGGCCTGAGCCGCTTCCTCATCCACCCCTGTGTAGCTGTGGTTTAACCCTAAGTCATTTTATGTGGGGGTGTTCACCTGCTCATCTGTCAGATGAAGGGATTAAATGCCCACAGACCAGACATCCCTTTCCCAATTAGAAGAAAAGCTTGGAATTAGGATGTTCATTTTGAGGCAGGGTTGTAGGTCATTGCGCAGAAAGAAAACAGCTTCCCTGTGGCCTAAACTGCTGTGCTAGAGGCACATCAAATGCAGAGTGTAACAGCCTTACTGTCCTCTGTGTGTTGCCCCAACATAAGATGCTGGCTAACTTAGTTTCCTCAGCATTCTGGAATCTGGGAAGTCCAAAGTCAAGAGCTGCTGTCCAGGAAGGTCCTCACACTTTGCCATTCCATGGGAGAAGAGCAAGAGGAAAGGGGAAAAGAGGACCCAACATACTGTTTTAAAAGGAGCCCGCTCCCTCAGAGATAACATTATTACATTCCTGTAGGCTATGGCCTTATGTCCCAAATTCCTCCTCTTAGGGCCAGGTTCCCAACCCTGCAGCTTTGGAAGTCAATGACTGGTGACTTTTGGCAGAGCCTTTAAACCATTACACCGTGTTCCAGTTTGAAAAATAAAAATGCCCAGCTGGTGTGGCAGCACACGCTTGTAAATTTCAGCACTCGGGAGGATCATAATTTCAAGACTAGTACAGGCTACACAATGAGATCCTGTCTCAAAAGAAATAAGAAAAATAAAAATGCTTGTAGAGAGGCTTGACAAAATATTTCTGCTGTAGTTGTTCATGCATCTTGAGAGTTGGCTGGGCTCCGTTAGGCAGCACCCATTAGAGCAGTGGTTCTCAGCCTTCCTAATACTGTGACCCCTTAATACAATTCCTCATGTTGTGGTGAGCCCCCAACCATAAAATTATTTTCATTGCTACTTCATAAGTATTTTGCTACTGTTATGAATTGTAATGTAAATATTTTTGGAGATAGAGGTTTGCAACTCATAGGTTGAGAACCGCTGATTTGGAGTCTCCTTTGTGTAACAGTCCCCTGGTAGTCCAGGAGAGGGCCATCCTGCAGGCTTCTTCATTGTCACATTTAGTGTCTGGAACAGCAGGGACTCCTCACGAATTCCTGTCACACCCCACATGCTCTTCCCTTTGAGGAAGCTATACTTCTAACACAAGGCTAACACTGTCCCCAAGAGAAATATAGAAGCTATGAGACTTGGAAAGGTAGAGTAGTCACAAATACCCATCTAAGCTCAAAGGGGAAGGAACTAGATGGCACCTTGAAATGAAGCAGAACCTGCAAACGTAACTTAGCCACATCAAGCCTTTGGCATGATCAAGTTGCAATCTTGCCCAGTGATGGGACACAGCTCTGACTCCTGTGGTTGCCTGAGACAGGATCAAAAAGTCAATAGATAGACTATCATAGCAACTGGCTATGGAAGGAGACTCTACTTAAGAAGATATTTAAAATAATAAGGAAACCAAATGGAATTGTTTGTATGAATATCACAATATAACAAATGTACGTATGCAAACTTTTAAACATATAATTTTTTTAGGTAAGAGACAAAAACTCAGCCTAGAAAGTAAATTCCCAGAGGCAGTAAACCCTAGCCTCTGACTTCGTAGAACGTTTGGGTGAGCAGCAGAGAAGAGGGGGACAAGCAGAGGAGTTAAGGATGGGGAGGATAGCTCAGTGGTAGAGTGCCTGGCACACCTAAGACTCTAGGTTCCATCACCAGCACCGACAAAAGCAACAAAGTAGTTGATGAAAGTAGTTGAAAACATAGTCATTAGAGCCAGGTTTTGCTGAATCCCAGCCCATCATTCCCCAGCTGTGTGGCCACTGAAAGGGTCCACTGGCTTCCTTCTATCTTCCCAGTTGCAGCATGGAACCAACAAGAGCCCCCTCCTGTCCAAGATGCTCTGAGAACAGATGCGCCTGCCAAAGTTTGCTATGTTACATAGGAAATGCTCAGTACCTTATTAGCCACTTCGCTCACCACCAGTCGCTTCCTCGCCTGTGCCAGATGCAAATGCCAGCGGCCAATATGGACTATGGGCAGTCAACCAAACACACAGGGGGAGGATGCCTGCCGTATCCCTTGAGATGATGACACATACATGAGAATTCCAGGGAGGAGGAGGCCTTCCTGTGACATCTGGGCACCCATCAGGCTGTGCCCCCCCCCTGCCTCCCCTATCCCCCACACTTATCCTCATTCTGACACGTTTTTAAATTTGGCTGTATATTTTAAGCATGTCAAGCTAAATTTTAGTTTTAGTGACTCTTACATATTTGGAATTAGCAGTCTCCAGGGGCCATTATGGAAATCCATGCAAATGATATGCAAAGAGGCAGTCACCCCAGATTGTGGGGAGGGGAGTGTGTAGACCAGTACAAAAGGCCTTGAATGAAAATTTGCATGTGTGAGAGGAACCCCGGTTGAAGGCCTTGCACTTTCGTTGTGACAGTACACATGGCATCCTTCCTTTGCTAACCTTTTGTGCGAAGGAGGAAGGGTGTAAGCTCTTGTCTCATTTCCATATTCAAGGTGACAGTAAGGTTGAAAGGAGCCAGACAGTTCAACGCTGTAGCTATCTTATGATACAAATGAAAATTTTTATTTGGAAATAATGGCTGTGATCCAGGCTGTCTCTCCTTGTGTGACTTTTCCCTGATTGGCGGGGCGGAGCATGAACAAAAGTCTCTTCACCCCCATTCAGGGCACAACAGCAGACCAAAGAAATGATTGCACCCAACCTAACTTAATGAGCTGACACTCAGAAACATCCATGATTCAAAAGTCCCACCTCAGCTTAAATGACAGTTCCAGAAAGCTGCGAACCCAGGCTCTGGGAAGCTTATGGACAATCCTAACAGTCTCCTCTCCCCTTGCAATCATCAGTCACTTACCTAACCCCGAGGACGCGCCACATGAGTTCTCTAAGTTTCATGAGTCATATGAGTCTGAGGTCATGAGCACACAGCCACACCACTCTCCCCAACCAGCCAAGTGCTGTTGAATAAGCCTCTCCTCTGTATAGAAGAGTTGGCTTAGGTGAACCCTAGAGCCCTTCACTATGTTCGCCAAAACTCAGAACCCCATGGCACCCAAGAAGAAACTTATGCATTTACAGGAGCAAAGACTGGCGTGTACATGATGGAGTCGTAACTTTACAGCCTGCTTACAGACTGAGGAATCTGGTGCCTGAAGAGCAGCAGCAGGGACAAGTCACACTCTGGTCAAGGGGTCTGGCTGGGGGGAGGGCCCTGCGAGCTCCTAGTGGGCAGTTGGGGGGGGGAGGGTTCTTGCTCTAAGCATTTTAAACCTCAGGCCCAGATGGCTCTTCTTCCCACTGTGTACCTGTCCCTAGAGTTACGCACTGTCCAAACTCTGTGCTGTTCTTGACTCCGAAGCCAAAACAATATAATGTCCTTGGCTCTAGAGCTCTGACTACCAGACACATTCCGTACTGCAGCTCAGAAATTCCCTGGGAACTCCAGCTACTACAGCAGCCACCAAAGGACCTGGCAGCCCTTGACCAAAGATCTCTGTACCCAGGGGGTACAGAGGGTAGGATGAGCACCCAGTAAGCTGCCCCCAGCTGAGAGGGATGAGAATCTGGGGGAGGCTCCTTAAGGCATAGGAGCGAGATGTTCCCAGATCTCCCTCAGATGGTTTTTCTTGTTTCACCAGTCTCAACCCACTGACCCTAAGCTCACTTCCCAGTGTAAACCACCTCCCTTCACGCCCTGTCTCCACCACCCCTCCCCGCTTTCAGAAGGGCCCTAAATGGGAAATGCTTACACCGGGGCTGCTGTAACAAACTATAGCACTTTCTGAACGGCTTACGCCACGGATACTCATTTCCTCAAAGCTTCTGGAGGCTGGAAGTTCAAGATCAAAGTAGTACCAGGGCTGGATTCTTGTGGTAGCAGAGGTTGACCCCTCTTCTCACATCACTGGCAGCTTCCCTCTGGCTGCCCTGCCCCAACAAGAGTGTTCTGCCTTGTCATCTGGCACTGCCCTGATGTCCCATCTTAGAAAGGTACCAGTCAAATTGGGTCAAGGCTCATCCTCCCAACCTCAGTTCATTGGAGTCTCCCTTCTTAATGCTTCTCTCCAAATACAGTGGCATTCTGAGATTCTGGGACTCGGGGAAAGCACAATCCAGCTCTTAAAACTCGTGAGACCAGCTTGTAGCAGAACGGTCCCCAAGCACCGGAAGTTGCCACCACCAGTGACCTTCAACCACTGTGGTGCTGAGCAGGGCAGAGCGGCACGTTGCTTCTGCTGTGGGTGCGGCTGATGGGCTTCTGCCTCCCCTGCAGCTGACTAGGAAAAGCATATGCCTCAGAGGCAGCCTCGGTCACGCGTGTTCCCGTCTCCCCAGCCTTTCATTTCCCACCCTGTCAACCAGTTGCTAGGCTGAAAGCTAGCGAGATTGCAGGATTGACTTGAACGAGCAGGATGCGTTGCAAGCGTGTGGGCTGACTCGTGAATGGAAGCGTAGACAACTGGCTCACCTGGGGTGGCCAGCCATTGGTCCTGGAGACAGTAGGCACTGGTGCCTCTGTAAAAGACCAGGCCCCTCGCCCTCCCCAGCATTGGCTCGGCTGTGAATATTCAGTCCAAGACTGACTGCTGCTCCAGGCACACTGGAGTTCCTTCCTCTCTGCTTCCTTGAGGCTAACCAGAGCCTCGCCGTTTCCACCAGACACAAGGAGGGTCCTGCCTTTCCCACCAGACTCCCATGAGTCCCAAGTAGGAGCCTGGCTCCCACTGGTGGCAGCTTTGCTGCCAGGCCCAGACTTCATGTGGGAATCCTACCCATGACACCAGCCATGGCCGCTTGCCCTGCTGGAGCATGGTAAAGTACCTATGGCTCTGAGAGAACTGTCAGGCAGGTCCCTACCCGCTTTCCAGGGTCTACTGAGGGTTGAAGTCCAAGAATACAAGAGTGCCTACAAGCATATGAGGTGTTGAGAAGTCAGAATCAGACCCTTTAAAAATGTCCCACCACCCATCAGCAGCAGAGACCAGCCCTCCCCAACTCACATGCAACAACCAACAAACTTGCAGCCTGCGATGTGTGGGGTTACAGGCACATGGTGCTGCAAATTATAATTTTTAAAAAAATTATTTTGGCGTGCTTTCAGGAACATGGATTTTTATGCTTTTGTGTTTTCTCAACAAACTTAAAATATATATAATAATATGCAGCCCCCCCCCGCCTTTTTTAGTTGTTTAGAAGGGCTCCTCCTACTCAAAAAGACCAAGCGGCACCAACGAGGATTTTGCCAAGTTGAGCTACACGAGGAACCACAGAGAGAGCACTTGATGACAAACCTCCAGTAACTAATGCTGTTTATGCAGTGGTTTCTATCCCAGACAGTGCTACTACAGCGTTAGGGAAGCTGGACCCGGTTGCTCTTCTCTGTGCCCTCTTCTGCCCATCCCGCTCCTATGACACCAGGGCGTCTCTGCCTTCCCCGAGGGTCATCTGTGGGCCTGGGAGGCTGCCCTGTTCATGTTCTGGGGTGCCAGGAAGGGAAACACAGCATGGGGCAGGCGGTCGGAATGAGCAGGGGTCTGACATTGGCGCTGTCTTCATTGTTCAAGAAAAGGAATAGGAGTTGGTTAGCTCTCCCACCCAAGCCTTCCTCAGTTGGCTCTGAGTGGCTCACAGGTCCCGTGGTCAGATTGGCCTTGGCTGCTTCCAGGCTGAAGATGATACAGAAGCAACAAGTCTCCTAGGTTTCCGCCTTCCTATTCCAAGACAAAACACTGAAGCTGAGGGCTGAGGGCATTCTGGAGACCCGGGAAGGATGGGATTAGCTGGTCTGATTGGCTCAGGGGTCACCTCGTGCTGCTGTCCCTCCTGAGACATAGCACCCTCCTGCCTCCTCATAGACTTTCCCTAGCCACACATACAGATCCTGAGCCTCAGACTGTCAGGGTACCAGCATGGCCTAAGGAATGCTCCAGGTGTCCTCCCCTCATCCTTGGGAGATTTCTCCAGGTCCTGGGTGAGGAGGGCCTGGCTGTGTGTAACACCTTCCTTCCTCAACAATCCCCTCTCTCTCCCCTCCAGGCTTTCTCCTGACCTTGGCACTGACCAAAGCACTGGTCCTCGCCGTCCAGGAACCGTCTCCCAGGGAATCTCTGCAGACCCTCCCCGCCAGCAGCCCCCCAGGCACCATGGTGACAGCACCCCACAGCTCTACCAGACTCTCCTCTGTGGTGACACTGGAGCCCGAACCTGATGGACCATCCTCACAGGTTGCAGCTACAATGGCAACAACCATATCTCATCCGGAAGGACACCTTCCCACAGACACCACGTCCACGGTTATGATGACAACTGCCGTCCCCCATCCTGAAAACCCTCTGCCCACAGGTTCTCCTCCGGCCGCCATGGCAACCACATCCTCCCACTCAGAGGGCCATCCCCCAGGGGATGCTGCCCCTGCCACCACCATCCTGCCCACAAGGTCAGCAGGAGCCACCAGCCGTCCCACAGTGTCCCCACGGGCCACCACTCGTAGGCCCCCCAGACCCCCAGGCTCTTCCAGGAAGGGGGCTGGTGGTTCATCTCGCACTCTCCCACCTGTGCCCAGTGGCCATTCGGCAAGGAAGGAAAGCCAGAGGGGACGAAATCAGAGCTCAACACATCTGGGGCAGAAGCGCCCTCTGGGGAAAATCTTTCAGATCTACAAGGGTAACTTTACAGGATCTGTGGAGCCAGACCCCTCTGCTCTTATCCCCAGGACCCCACTCTGGGGCTACACCTCTTCACCACAACCCCAAACAGAGTCTCCAGCTCCAGCACCCAGAAGCACCTCACAGGTGCCTCCGACAACTTCCCCAGTACCTGCAAAGGACAAGTCAGGCCTTATCAGAGTCAGCCAGGGGAGTGGCCCCACCTTTACCAGCCCAGGAGGGGAACCGGATGCCACAGCAGCCTCAGGTGCCCCTGCCAGTACACAGCATGCCCCAGTGCCTTCTCAGCGCCCTCATGGTGACGTGCAGGACAGCCCCAGCCACAGTGACTCCGGGCTTGCTGTCACCCCCGACACTGACAGACCCCCATCTGCCAGCTCCGGGGTATCCACGGCTGCCACAGGGCCCACCCAGGCTGCCTTTGATGCCAGTGTCTCAGCCCATTCCCAGGGCACCCCTCAGGGAGCATCAGCAACCCCTCAGGGTCCAACCCGGCCCTCTGGGGTCTCAGAAAGCACTGCTTCTCCAGCCGAGGGGAAGACTGAGGCCTCCCCCTCAACAACCGACAGGGGTCCCAGACCCCTTTCCACAGTGCTGTCTACAGCCACAGGCAACTTCCTCAACCGCCTGGTCCCTGCTGGGACCTGGAAGCCAGGAACCGTGGGTAACATCTCCCATGTGGCTGAAGGGGACAAGCCCCAGCACAGAGCCACCATCTGCTTGAGCAAGATGGACATTGCCTGGGTCGTCTTGGCCATCAGTGTGCCCATCTCCTCCTGCTGTAAGTACCTGCTCTCTTCCCTCCTTCTCCTTTGTCCTAGCCTCTTTCCCATCCCCCAGACTCCCTTGCCCTTGAGTTAGGTAGGCAGCCCCACTGAGTGAAATGCAGAAAGCAAACAAGACAGCAAGGCGGGAGTCATGGGCCATCCCTGACCTCGTCCTGGGTATAGGTCAAATGCCCATGATCACAAAGCCACAGTTCCCAGAGCTGGGGGGGGAGGGGTGGGAAGGACACTTTACAGGTGCTCTAAGCCAGCCACATGTGTCACAGAAAGAAACATCAAACTAGCTAAGAGACTTACGTGGCTTGCCTAGGATCCAGGTGGCAGGAGTGGCAAGATGCTACAGCCCTTGCCTGAAGCATCCTTTCCTTCCTGCTGAGAGTTCTGTCAGTTAACAACCCTGCCTCGAGGAACAAGGCGCCAGGACATCATGGGAGACAACTGACCATAGACAGTTACATGCTGCAGCTGGAAAAGTCATCACCATCCTCTCCACCTTGTTTTTCCCTCCACATCTCCCTCCCTTCCCCTAAGGAAGAAAAGACAAAGCTTTCACGTGCTGGCCAAAGCACAGTTCTTAATACACTGAAAAGATCCTCAGAGTCCTGTGAGGTTTAGCTCTGCTCCATCCACACACCACCCAGCCTGCCTTAACCTGTAGTAACGTGAGCTCTGTGCACCGTGGGCCTTACCATTACAGCCCTCTACTCCATGGCAACCAGCACCTCCCTGCAGCAACCTGTCTCTCTGAGAGTGAGGGCTCAGGAGATGTTCTCATGTCCCCAACAAGACCCTGCCGTGGCCTTGCAGAGCCATAAGACACCTCCCCCCCTCCCCCGCCATGTCTTCTCATGTCAAACTTCGTTCTCAGAGGATCTTCACTGCATTTGGCCCTACCTCACCTCAGATGGTCACCGTGAAAGATGTCATCCCCGTGTTCCTTCTTCTCCAGAACAGGCGGTTCTCTGACCTTTCATGTTCTTCCTAGCTCTTCTGAGAACCTCAAGTTGGTCATTTTCACCCTGTATTCCTAAGTGGTGTTTTCCAAAGAAGCTACATAAAACATATAACAGTCCCAGAGACTCTCAGGGAGCAATACTCTTGGCTCAAGATCCTCATCCGTGACCCTCTGTCACCTGAGCCTACCACATCTGCCACCTCTAAATGGTCACCTCTTTCTCCCTTGTCCCCCAGAAATGCAGCATTCCACACATGCCATGCCAGGCCAGGCCAGGCAGTGGGGCCCACATTAACAGAGCCTTGCTGCCACCAGCCTTGTGGTCTAACCAGGCTTCCCATCACCCTCGGGGCTCATACTGGTCTTAAACGAAGGCCCAAGGCTTCCCACAAGGAGGCTGTGAAACCAAGGTCACACCCTTCTCCTCATGCCCCAGGTCAGCACAGAGGTCCTATTAGGCCCTTAACACAGCCAACTTTCCATTCATTGCCTCACTGCAAGCACGGCTTCTCCCAGCTTCCTGGAAAACCTAGTGAAGAGGACGAAAGGCCACTTCCGCTCCCTGACAAGGTTCAGGGAATGTGTAAAGTTGGTGGTGATGCCTCATGCTCAGTGAAAGCAGCTTTATACTCTATCATGGGAACATGTGTAATTTTTAAGCTGTGATCATCTGCTCCTAAAACAGGAATGAGATTGAGAAAATGTAGCACTTACTAATAAGTTATTAATTAACAGTCACACGTAAGAAGTGACTGCTTTCTAATCTTGCGAGTGTGTTGGATGCCCTCGTTCATAGTTGGAATTACAGGTCTGTCTCATCATTCTGTCCCTACCTACACTAGCTAAAGAAAATAAACACGTTACTAAGCGCATCCAGCCCCAAGGTGTCAGGAGACTCTGGTCATCACCCACACTCTGGCGAGTTAGGAAGCTGACGTCAGCCAAGGCTGGGACAAAGACACACAGCCTAGAACTGTACCTGAAGGACAGTTCAGAGTTACAAGAGGGCCCTTCAAGTGCTGGGGGCCGGCGGGGGTTCGTTAGGACACAATTTCTAAAGATCTGATTTTGTTCACACTGGACTGTTATAGCCCAACAGGACAGCAGCGCCCACTTCCTTTACATTTCTGCCATTTTCACGGGTGGTTCTCACTTCTTCCCGGGTCCTGGCTGCCTCTGTATCAGCTGTGTCTTTAGTCACAGACATGGCCCCTATCAGGGAATATGTAGACTATCAGTCAAGGTCGCAGAACCCCAGGCGCTGCTCATAGAAATTTTCATCTGTTTGGGCTGTTCCCATAGTCCTGCCCCATCTAACGGTCAGACAAGCTGAGCATTTCCAGGCCTGGAGGCTAATGTTCCACCCATCCCTACTGTCTTGTCTGTGTACCCCAAAGCTACTCTACAGACCTCCCTGGACTCCATCCTTTGCCAGGCTGTCAGAAACCCCAGGCAGTCTGGCCGGTAGCAGAAGGTGAGTATAGGCTTCACCACCTCTGGGGGCAGGGGCTAGGAGAGAAGCCAGGTTGTGCAGAGCAGCAGGGGCTGGCCCCTAGTTATGCTTTCTCCACCCTCGCTTGCTCATCCTAGGGTGATTCCCCTGCTTCCAAATGGAAAGGGGGGGGGGAGAGTACAGTGAATTCTAAGCCTGCACAATGGTGGAGGGTCAGCAGCTCGCCTGCCTTCCACATCCCAAGCCCTCCTGAGAGCTGCAAGAGCATCAGTTACAAGGGCCGAGAGGTGCTTTGTCTCCTGAGCTCTGCCACACACTCTCGCTCTCGCCAACTCTGTTGCAGACCTGCTGAGAACTGAAATTGACTAGATCCAGGCCACTGCTGCGAGCTAGGGCCAGGAGCCATGTGGCTGGCCGAGCTGGTCTCTGCTGCCACCATCAGGCTGCACAGAACCTGTCGTCTGTCTCCTCTTAGCTGTTGTGGCCTGCAACTCACTGGTTGGTCATGGCTCCCCGAAACACAAAACAGTTTGGAGGCTCTGCTCAGATCCCTGGCGTATCTCACACTGTGGAGCGTTTGCTCCCAGCCACCCTGGGAGAAGATGGAGCGTTGGGGAGGGTTAGCTAAGGAATTTTACAGGTGTGTCGTGTCACCAATGCAGGTTCAGCCTGGCGGGGCAGAGGAGAGCCACTCTGACATTGACACTTGAGAGTCTATTTGCACTTACCCCAGAGCAGGACTTCTCTCACACTCTGGACCATTAATGCAAGATGCCAAGGGGTGACGTGTTATAGCACCCAAAATCCTTGGCTGTGATCTTTGCCCAATGAATGTTAATTATGAATACAAACAATATGCATAGATCATCAGCCTATATGTGCACTGTGTACGTGTGTGCAGGGGAGAGAGCGATACAGTTTTCACTCACAGGCTTTTTATTTAGCATATAAGAAAGCCTGGGTTAGACTGATTCTTACCACGAGGCAGAAAAGACTGACCCAAAAGGAAGCATGGCTAGGCGGCCTGTCTCCACAGAATTATGGACCAAGAGGAGGAGGCAAGGAGAATGCTACTGCAAGGCAGGATTGTCACCCCAGCCATAACCCAGTCAAGCTAAAATATAGCTATCTCTTGGGCTTCTGGTATCCCCTGTTAGTCTTCTAAACACCAGATCCCCACATGCCTGGCTGAAGAGCCACACACTCAGGCCACGTAGTTTTTTCAGGTTTGTGGCCTTACAGCCATGGCACAGCAGCAGAAACCCATCCCAGTCCCTGTCTACTGCCACTTGACCCTTTATGGAGCACCCTGCAGTACTGAAAATGGCTTCTGGAGTCACAGAGAACCCGCCCACAAACTCAGCCATGGCCACTCTTGACTGTGGACCCAACCAACATTCCTATGCTCTCTCTCCTCCTGGACGAGCAATGTGTCTACTGCAACAGTTCAGGTCCCTTAAGAGGCAGGCACCAAGATGGAACCGGGCACGCAAGGCAGCTATGAAACACCCAGGAAGAGCTGGGTGCTTTGCAGCAAGGCAAGCCCTGTGCGGCCATGCAGATGTCATGCCACAGAAAAAGATGGGGGACAGCGAGGATGGGATATCTGAGAGGATTTCTGCTGGGCCAGTGGGAGTCCTCGAGCTGTAGAAGGATCCCAAGGGACTAAGCATGCTCTGCCACCTCTGCCGTGGTCAGTCACGGTGCGGGCACCAGGGAAGCATGACCTGGGCACAGAGACAGTGGTAAATCTGGAGGGGCAGCAGGATTTGGGCAGAGGCTTTATACGCTTGTAATGGCTGCCTCCAAGACCCATGAAAATCATGGACAGTGAACTTAAGGTCTTATATCAGGGTCTGCTGTGGGGGAGGGGCTCAGGAACTGGCAGTGGGGGGGGTGCCTATCTCGTCGGATATTAGTGTGTGTTCACGCGCCTAGGCCCGGCAGCTGGCGATGCAGCAGGAGTTTGGAAAGGTTGGGCCTTCCGGGGGAGCCTGTGGGCTTTGATCACCCCCTCTTGCCACCCCCTAGGGTCCTGTTGTGTAAACAGACTACCCAGAGCTCCAACTTCACACCAGTGACCCTTCCTTCCTGTCACATACCCAATGAGTCACAGAGGATTCATTACTGGGGAAGCCAAGAGAGCTTGTTTAACTCTCAGGGCTGTTGTAGAACTACAGGACAAAGGGCCCCCACTCGTTCCCTGTAGAGAAAGGCTGCTGCCATTGGGGACACAAAGCAAATGATTCTTTGGCTTAATGGAGAAGTGGCTCATGCCTTATGCTCACTTGGAGACAGTGAGAAACACTAGGAAGTCCCCAAGAGAAACGGATTCAAGCCACCAGACCTCCCCAAGACAGGATCTCCGCACATTACACAGACCCAGGCTTCAGAGCCAGGGGCAGCATGGACTCTTAGGCATAGCAGTAGGCACAGTCTGCCAGCTCAGCAGCACGGCCCTGGGAAGTTCATCTCCCTGGGTTCCTCTCTCTACTTTTCAGACTGTGAATAACAGGTGGGGAAAGTCCCGAGGAGCTGGCCAGAATTCTGCTGCGTGCAGGACTGCATCTGACCTGCACAGAGGTCAGGAGGTTAAGCGATTCCCTCAGGTCTGGCGAGTAGTGCATCAGTGTCTGGGCGCCGATTCCAAATCCCACATCCCTCTCACCATGACTAGGTGGTCTCTAAGACGGTCTCTGTCCCTTTGCTCTTGCCTGCCCATGACCACTCCGTGGGTCCAATGCCCCCTTCCTCAGAGACGTGGCTTTTAAGGACACCTCTTTCCCTGCTTTCAGTCTGTGGCTTGCCGTGTGTTGCCAGCTACCCTCACAAGCCGGCGAGTGAAAAGTGACCGTTTGTCCCCGACAACCCCTCCCCCTTCCCCTGGGCTCCAGCTTTGGCAGAGCTGAAGAAACCCCTCTGCCCTCACGTCTTAAGTGTTTCTGCATCTTTAGAGATTTGGCTTTCCTGGCTTGAATTGCCCTGGCCATTTCCCCCTTGTGTTTCACGGGCAGAAACTAGTGGCTGTGAGGAAATAAGGGTATCAGGAGGGGAGAGGGGGCATCTGTGACAGCCAGCTGTGTCTCTTCCGGCTGTGGTGTCTCCCAGCAGAATGGAAAGGTGGCCTAACCGCTGTTCCCACATTGTTTGCCGCCCCTTCCCCTCTGCTCCTTCAAGCAGTAAAGAAAGAGCTTTTGGAAGCATTAAAGGGAAAGACAGATCGACGAAAGTTGAATAGTCTGATGTCAGCCTGTCTCTTAAATGCCCTTTTGCCCAGTCATTAAGTCCCCTCTCCTTGAGTCAGGACTTTTTAAAAAGGCAAGGTAGAGACATGATTAGCAAACTGAAAGTCTTTTCTGGCCAGAGCAGGTGAGGAAGCTACCTCCTGACCGTGCTTGGAGACAATCTCGCTGGGGGAGGAAATCGACAGAATGTTCCAGTGAGCCCCCAGGCCTGGACCCTGGGCTCTGTGGCCTCAGCTTCTGTAGCTGCCCCATCCCTGACAACGTACCCGCTCTGTATTGGTCAAGCCGCTCTGTATTGGTCAAGCCGTAGGACTGCTTCTGAGGGAGCTGGCCCTCTGCTGCCCCCTGGTGCTGGCCTCTGATCAGAGCAGCCTGGGCCCCATTACCAGTCACCAAGATGATTGGCACCGTGAGGATGTCAGGTGTATGCAGGGCCCACCCATCCCCTTCACTGTGGAAGGTTCCGGGCAGGCTATGCTCATCCCTCATTCACTAGTGCTCCCCCTGATGCACCACCATTCTGCTGTGTGAGTCTGGGCAAGGCACCCTGCCTCTTCAACCTCCAAAGGTCCCTGGGAACATTATTAAAGCCACCATGCTGCAGTCAGCTAAACAGGGAAAAAGCCCTTGTGCCGATCTTAAGCAGAAACCCAGGTGTTAAAGAGCAGCTTTGGCGTCCACACATCCAAATTTGCCCTTAAGCCTATTGACAAAAATTACCACTTCTCTCTCTAAATTAAAGTATAGACGAACATTGACCCCGTGCGGTCAAAAGGAAAATCTAAAGCTATCAATATATGTCCCTGAAATGTAAGGCCTAGATGACCTAGGCCTTCTACATCTTTTTAACTGAGCCTAGGGGTTTCGTCTCGTGCATCTGTGTCTGTCACCCTTCAGCTTCAGTGGAGACCTTTCCAAGGACTGGGTCTCTGAACACACATGCTGGTCTTTGCTTCCAGGCCCTGAGGAACGTCCCTCCCAGCGGAACAAAGCCCTTTCTTGGTGCCTCCTAAAAGCACAGCACTGCAGCAACCCCAAATATCACCAAGATGCATGTAGCTTCTCTTCCCTAAGCCCCTGGGGGGTACACCTCTCCACGCCGCCCTGGCTTTCCCTCTACCTCCCCCACACTTCCTGCCATACTGCACCTCTTTCTCTCTCTCTCTCGCTCACTCGCTCACTCACACACCTGGGCTGTCCACACCTTGGTCTTTGCACACACTGATCCTCAATCCTGGAACATACCGCCCATTCTGCATGGGGTTCATCTGCTCCCCAGGATGCCAATTCCCTTGCTGTGAGGCCACCACCATGACCAAAACAGTCTCTCTCACATTCCCCTCATCATCTCTCTCACCAGCCCAGTTTCATCATCACCAGATAGCCGGCCTCAACTGAAATAGCCCAGTTTATTTTTATTACCTATGGATCATTTGACCTCTTCCGCAAACACACAGTAGGATGGAAGCTTAGGGAAAACTGGTGGCTAGTAACAGTTTTTCTAGCACACAGTAGGTACTCAAAATAAAGATAGTGGTTGGTGGGAAAAAACTGAGTGAAGGCTAGCTCGGTTATCTGAGCACTTGTCTCTCACACCCAAAGCTATGGTGTCGGTCTCCATGGCCACATAAACCAGGCGTGGTGGCACCGACCTGGCATCGCAGGACTCAGAGGTAGAGTCCAAAGGGACCAGAATTTCAAAGCTATCCTCGGTTACACAGTGACCTCGTGGCCAGCCCGGCATACACGAGTCTATTTTTTTTTTTAAATGGACCTAGTGGCTTGGGGCACCCACACTGGGACCAAGGTATTTGTCTCCGCCCTCTGCTTCTCTGACTGGGACTCTCTCCACAGCCGTCCTGCTGACCGTGTGCTGCATGAGGAGGAAGAAGAAGACAGCCAACCCCGAGAACAACCTGAGCTACTGGAACAACGCCATCACCATGGACTACTTCAACAGACATGCCGTGGAGCTCCCGAGGGAGATCCAGTCCCTGGAGACCTCGGAGGTAACCAGCCCCGCATCCCCACAGCCACGCTCCACAGAAACCGGCAGAGTACCTGCTCAACCCTGGATCCTCTGTGCACCTCTGCAGAGTACCTCTGCAGTACTCTGAGGCAGGACCCCACACACACACACACCTCGTGCACCTCAGCCATCAGGAGAGACACCCTAACCCCCCCGACCCCACACACACACACCTCACCTCAGCCCTACTGAACTTGGGGCCTGATTCTGAAACAAGAGCTGCTGAGTGCCTCCTGCACACCAGACTTTGGGAAAACTGGTCTCTGGACTTCTCCAGTCTGGGAAGGAGTAACAAGTGCTTATCGGGGACCTCTCTTGTGGCAAGCAGTCTCTGGGGACCAGGAAGGTGAAAGCTTGCTCTCAAGAGATTTCCAGTTTTGAGCTGTGGCTGGGAGATGAAGCCTGGTGCCCTTCAAATGCAAACCAAATTAAGAATAGTAATAGATGGAATGTTATGGAAACCCAGGGAAAGAAAGCCCTCTCAAGAGGTACAGGGATTACCACGTACCACAAAAGAAGACAGATGCCTTGAAGATGGTCCAGGAGAGAGCTGGTTCAGGAGAGAGCTGAGGGGCAGCTGGGCTGAGTTATTGTCCACCCAGCCTTTCCTGCACCTCCAGTCCCAGGGCTTTGATAATTGTGAGGGTAGCCATCTTGGTTTCCTTGTTCAAAACCCAACTAAGCTCCCCACTTAAAGTTTTTAAGCAGTGGGGGAGACACAGCCCTCCCAACCTCCAAAATACCCAACTTTCTGGCCTCACGTGATGCCTGTCCCTTTCCTCCTCGTTTGGCAAACTCCATCCATTTGTGTGAGTTATTTCCTTCCTTCCACCCCTTCACAGGTCTCTGTGTATGAACTGTTCCCTCTCGTATAAGTCCTCTCTCCTTCCCCAGCTCACCCCCCCCCTCCTCAACTCACTTTGAGAAAACCCGCTCTGGTCAGATGTGGCTCTCAGATGTGGCCAGAGCATCTCAGCACCTCCCACTTTCCTACCCTACTTAACCACCGGTCTGATGTTAACTCAGTATCATGCTCCCCCTACTTGGGACACCTGCTTGTTGCCCCTACCCCTGGCAGCTCTTTCTTAGTTTGGAGGTATCGAGTCCTGGGCTGCGGGACCTCTCTTCACCGAGTTCCAGGCTCAGCCGCTCAGCTCCTCTGTCTCATAAGAGGTGTAGAACTTAGGTGTACAATGTAATTGCTACTGCCATACCACCAGTGTGCCACATCTGTCTGCTGCTCTGATGTCTCCCCCAACCCCAGCCACATACCTGCCTAGCCGAGTCTCAAACTCATTGACCCAACATGGAACCACTGATGCCCGCTCCTGGCTCCAGCCCCAAGCTCACCTGGTGCTCCCAGTTGCACTCGAGACGCTGCTGGTCCACCAACCCTGTCTTGCATGCTCGAAGTTTGTCCGTTGGTAGATTCGATCGGTTTATCCCTAAGCATGAGCTATTCTCATCCCCGCCTGTGGCCTTCTCCTCTCTTACATTCGGATGGCTACAGAAGGCTCTGAGACTGGCCTTCCCCATCCTATCCCATCCTGCAGTTGATGAGGACAGGTTCCAGGTGATCTCTCAAATGCATGACCCCCATTAACCATGGATCCCAGTTCCCAGCTGGATCCTCTGTGCACCCTAAAGAGAAGCTAAGGATGCAGGATGCACAGCTGGTCCCAGCACTGAGGAGGCAAAGGTTGGAAGATCAGAAGTCCAAGCCACTGAAGCTACTTTGGGAGTTCAAGGCCAGCTTGGGCTATATGAGACCCATAAAAATGAAAAGAGGGAGGGGGAAGGGTAGGAGAGAGAGGCAAGGAGGGCAAAGACAGAGGAGAGGGGGAAAGGAGAGCGGTCCCCAGAACTCATCTAAAAATCCAAGTGGAATGGTCCACAAGCTTTCCAGTACTTAGGTGCTAGAGGCAGGAGGATTCCTAGGACTGCTGGCGAGTCAGCCTTGTCTAGTCAGGGAACCCCAAGTTCCCAGTGAGAGATCCTGTCTCCGGCTGAGTCCTGAGGAACAACACCCGAGGTTGACTTCCCACACAACACAACTCTACTGAACCTGAATGCACACAGGCATGCCCGTGTTTGCACACACACACACACACAGAGAGAGAGAGAGAAAAAGCCTGTTCCTCTTTCTGGTCCCTTCACAAGCTGTTCGCACAGCCCACTGCAAATCCGCACTCTCCCCCAGACGCCCTACGCGCTTTGCTTAGCACAGAAAGCCCATCACCCCCAATCTTAAGCTTAACTGGACCTCTCCCCTAATGCCTAGACCTTTTTTTTTCCTGCAGCTCTCTCTAAAGAGCCCTTCCTAGACTGCCCTGAACCCTGTAGAGCCCACCCTCAACCTCCGTCCCTGCTCTGCTTGCTTTTTCCTCCTTACAGTACAGCTCCCAGGGACAATGCAGCCTGCTGCCCCACTGACACACTGATTTTCCTCTCCTTGCTGAAATATAAGGGCCCGAGGGCAGGAGCCTTGTTTGAATTCAGTCCTCGGTTCCCAATATCTCTAAATTGTGTCTGGCCTGGCCCATAGCTGTCTGCAGCAAACGTGCAGTAGATGACTGCCCCCCCCCCCCGATAAAAAGTCACATGACTTACCCTACCCCCTCCAGAGCCTATCACGCAGTAGCTTCTCAGTAAAAGCTGATAACCAATGGGCAGATAGCAATATGGGCTTGGTGGAGGTTTTTGTTTAGAGGGAAGCCAGCACACATCTTTCGTATAGTAAGTGAAAGACCTGAGAAAGGCTTGAATCTGGGCAGTGAAGCATAAACTTCTTCTGTTTTCTGTATAAAAATGGGGAAGTGAACGCTGAAGAGCAGAGCCCATGAACATGATGCAGAAAAGCCCCGAGTGTAGCACCCCATGACAGTTCTACTTGTAGAACCAAAGGGGGCTGGGGCGGGGGGCTGGGACTGCTGGTCTGCATTCAGCCCCCAGGCCAGGGGGCTTCTGGTGAGAGGGCCACCTGGCCACAGTCTCAAGAACACAAAAGCCACAGCAGAAAGCAAGCCAGAGTTGGTTTCAGTCTGTGCCCTTGCTTACCCTCACCCCCTGCCAGTCTACTTTTTGGTTCTATAGTATCTACAAAAAAAAAGACTGTAGTCTGTTCCACCATTCTGAACTTGTGCTGCGTGAGGTCAAAGTGTAGGCAGTTTGGAGCCAGGATGGACCCTGCTTAGGGACACACGTGCCCTATACTGTCTCTGTGCCTGGCTACCTCACAGTCTGTGACAGGCACAGACTGTCACACACTGGCCTGGCAGATCAGTGTACCCAAAGGGTACTTGGACACTCTTCTTTCTTCCTTTTCCTCTCCCCCTCCCCCTCCACTGTCTTGGCTGTTTGCCAGAGACCTTTTCTCTTTTTCTGCAGTACCTCATGCACACACCCTACCCAGATTCACCACTGGACCGCACTTGCCCCATTAAAACTGGAAAGCCATACAAGCCAGACTGCAGCCTCCAAAGCTCTCACGGCACAGGGGAAGAAAGGACTTCTGTCTCTTCTCCATAGTTAGAAGGGTCAGGCTTACATGCACACTCCTGAGGAGATTTGGCCACGGTCAGCCCTTGAGGGAAATGCCTGTCTCCTGAAAAGACATTTTACCTGTCAAGGAATTGTCTTTTGTCTGTTTTGTTTAAAAATAAACTGAAGGGAATGAACTGTGGCTTCTTAAAAATGAAGCCATTTCTGAGGGAGTCTGGCCCAGTCCAGCCTACACAGGCTTGTTTCCAAGTTGAATTCACTATCTTTGAAGTTGAGAGTTTTGGTTGGTTGGTTTATGGGGTTTTGTTTGGTTGGTTCGTTGTTTTTTTCATTTTGGTTTGGTTTGAGACAGGATTTCTCTGTGTAGCCTTGGCTGTCCTGGACCAGGCAGGCCTGGAACTGACAGAAATCCACCTGCCTCTGCCTCCCTGAGTGCTGGGATCAAAGGTGTGCGCCACCATGCCTGGCTAAAATGCTAAAATCACCCTGCCTCTGCCTCCTTCAGCAAATCCCGTGGGTGTGTGCCACCATAGCCATTTGTTTGGCATTCAGTCAGGCTTCGGCTGTTCTGCCTTTTCCCTAAATTAATCCCCGGATCTGAGAACGGCCATTACTAGCCCACCAATGCTTGCCGTCCCTGGCAGCTGAGGCGGAAACCCTGTCAAGCCCAAGTCCCTTCTGAGCAGCGTGGGTGCCTGCCTAAAGCCTTTTCCACCTTGGGGCTTAGCAGACAGGCTGAGGTTTTGAGGTTTCACTTGCCACATGGCGTACTGCTGCACAGAAATCCAGTCCATCCACGTGGGTGCTTGTGTAGCTGCAAGGAACAGGGCAATGAGTCTCACCAGGCTGGGGGCAGGGGGGAGGCTCGCTTAAGAGGAGGAGGGACTGGCCCTGAAGACGGTGGGCCTGTCAGACTCGGAAGGGTAGTTATGGGATGGGTGGTACCTAGAGGTGTATTTGGGAAGCAAAAGCTTCTAATTTGCCTGGGTGTCTGAGGAAGAAGCAGGAAGTAGAGTCTGGAGTCCAAGGACATCAACTGTTGGGCAGTAAGGGGGTGTGGAGGGATGTGGGGGGAGGGGGTGTCGGGGTGTGTATGTGGGGGGTTGTGTTTACTTGCGTGCCTGGTTGCTTGATTCATTGAGGCAGTCTCTCACTGCATATCCCGGGCCAGCCTTGAACTTGCCATCCTCCCAAGTGCTGGGGTTGTATGTGAACTACCACACCCAGCTATACCCGTGCATGTCTTGAAGGGCACCCACTCGTATTCCAACCCCAGCTCACGTCTTCCTCGCTCTCTCCCCAGGACCAGCTCTCAGAGCCCCGCTCCCCGGCCAATGGCGACTATCGAGATACTGGGATGGTCCTCGTGAACCCCTTCTGCCAGGAAACACTGTTCGTGGGAACCGATCAAGTTTCTGAGATCTAGATGCAGCAGACCACCCCCCCCCGCTTTGCCACTCCCTATTTTTTGTCTCTAAATTATAAATATACAAATATATATTATAAATATAACCTTTGTGTAACCCTGACTTAATAAGAAACATTTTCAGCTTTTTTTCTTAAGAATTGTCAACATCTTTTTTACAAGTGTGGTTTAAAAAAATTTACAGAATGACCCATGGCTTTATAAAATAAAGGTATTTCTAAGCAAAGCTGTTGCACTGATTGCTTCTCTTAACTGTTCTGGGCATGTAGGGGTCCCAGGAGCCCCGGGCAGGTGAGGAAAGAGACCAGTCTCCCATGGAAGCTGAATGTTTTTAAGGCCAAATGAGTGGTCCTCTTTGTGTTCTTGATGCTCTGGTTCCCTTGACTCAGTATGTCCACATTCCCTGTCTCCATGTATATACTCGAATAGAGGGAACTGGTGCCCCAAGGCAGAAGACACAGGCAAGTGTACAAAACAGAGGGGAGCGTGTCTCCCTGAGGCCTCACTATGGCATCACTGAATGTCGAGTTTAACGGGATCTGTGAAGGCCATCAGCGCCTGAGGAGGCTCCACTCCTTTTATCACCCCACCGGGTGCCCCCACCATGCTAGAAGAAACCAGACTGCCTTTGTCTGGCGGAAAAGGGTTCCCTAGAAACCCTTCTCTGCATCTCTTCCAACACCCCCACCTGCCCTGAACCCCAGGCCTCTCTTCCTGGGACAGATACAGATGTCAGCCTAGAGGCTATGAGCCCTTGCCCTTCCCTCTTGAAGGGTTGTTTATTGGGATTCTGTATTGCTTTCTCCAAAGGCAATGATAGTGTGCCCTCTGAGAAACAGGTTTATGTAGAAAGCCTTGTGGTGTAGAACTATTTTTTTTTAACCTTCCCCATTAAATCTTTAAAGAAAAAGATTGCCAAATGACTCACTTGAGAGAAGTGCCATTCTGTCCATAAGCAGAAGCAATGCAGACGTGCCCATGACCGTACCATCAGCTCTCCCCATCACCCCCCCCCACCTCCCCTCTTGTCCCCCTGGGCCCAGGGCCATGCTGTACCTGGTGTGGCCACTGGGGTGCAGACTCTCAGAGACCCTAAGGGAGCTTCTGGGCCAGTTGCTTTCTCTGTTAACCTTCCTGACCCACTGTGGCTAGGGAGTTAACTCCGACCCCTCCTCCCCCTTCTCTAAAAGAAAAATAGTTTGATAGTATATTTTGAATATAGATGTTCTTATTATCAGATTGGAACTTGAATTTGACTGTCGGTTTCCATGTCTGTGTTGTTGCTGTGGTCTTCTTACCATGACTTCCTTCCTATGTCTTCCCTCCGTTTTCCTTTCCAGAAAGAAAGACAGCCTTCAAAACTAATGTGTTCTCAGTGTTGTATGGACCTACTTACCACCAGTCTGCTTGTCTCTTTTCAAAGACTTAACCCCCCCCAAAGGAGCAGGTTCAATGTTGTGCCGAGGTTCGCTCTCTAATGTGTCGCTGTCCAACCTTAACCTTATCATAATATTTCTGTTCGCTATTGCATTGACTGTGCCAATGTGTGTATGGATAGAGAAAAACATGTTTGTAAAGTAAAATTTATATATAATATATGTCATCAAAGATACATATGTTATATGTACATTTGTGGATGTATGACTTATTTTTCCGTATCCACAGAATTCAGCTACCATGTATATATAAATAAACTTATTTTATTACCCAGAGGATCAAGTCGCTAATACATTTTGCATTCTTTTCATTTAAAAAACTAACCTTGAAGTCTCCCTTCCGTGGCACCTATAACCATATCTCATTTCCATGTGTACTTTTGTATCTACTGGAACACTGTGTTGACCGTGTGATAACAGGTAAAACTGATCTTTTAGAACAAGAGGGTGGGTCTTCCGATGGACAGTCTGCTCTCTTCACATCTTTGAAACAGGGGTGTCCAGTGAGGTGCCTCCCTTTGCCTGTTCTCATCTCCAGAGAGACGGGTAGATTTGAAGTACACATCTCTAGGTCTGAGAGTGTTTAAAACCACTGGCCATTACCATTCCCTGGCCAGTAATAGTGCCTAGACACGTGAGACCTTTGTAGTCTGTAGCTTGAACCCTTCATTTGGCCTACGACAGCACATCCTGGAACTGACTAAAACGCTGCTACCTGGGGCCCAGCAATAACACCTGTATTAGGAGGCTGTTGCTGTAAAAAGCCCCCAGTGCACCACGGGAGGTGGTGGGATTCATAGGAAGCATGCTCCATCGATGGACGCAAAGGCGATAAGCTAATGACTTTCACTTGATTCAGTTGCCTCAATCTGTTAATCAAAGAACCAACACTTATATTTAATCACGTGTCTCCTGGGAGGTAGGGAGATGGCTCAGTGACATGCCTTACAATCATGAGGATCCAAGTTTGATCCTCAGAACCCATGTACAAAATCTGGGTGTGGTGACATACATTTCTAATCCCAGCACTGGATAGGCGGAGCCAGGCAGATCCCTGGGGCCCTCTGGCCTGCAAGTCTAGCCTAATTGGTGAGTTCCAAACTGATAAGAGACCCCGTTTAAAAAAAAAATAAGGTAGACAGCCCCCGAGGATGGCTCTAAAGTTGATCTGTGGCCTCCACATGAACATTCAAAAGTAATAAAGTGCCTCTTTCATTGCCTCGGGTAAAGAAAAGATAGGGAAAGGTTGCAGTTTTCATAAATGATACAAAATGAAAGTACACGGAAAGTTCTAGCAGATGAGCAGGCCCCCCGTGACCCTGTGCTATAGACAGCCTTGTATAGTCCTGCATTAAAGAGGCCTTCTAGGCTCTGTATGTTCTGCACGTGGGATCTCAGGGGCTTTCATCACAAGGGGAAGCAGTAGTATCTCAGAGAACAATTCCAAAATTGTACGATACGCATCCTAAACAGCAGGACATGTGAAACATTTTCCTACCTTCTGACTGGAAAGTGAGATCGAGCCGGGGATATGCTCAGAATTGGGGTATATGCGCTACCTTCCACATGGTTGAGTCTTGACCCCTTTTCTTGCCTGAGGTCCACCCTCACTTTACAGGACCCAGGAGTCCAAGGTCCATCTCTAGACCTGAGGTGCCTGGTTTCAATATACTAAAACCTTAGCACATGGGAATTTTTAGGGCCATGTCGTGCCCAGGCTGGAGGGAACATTCCAGCTCCCATGAAATGACTGGGATATGACTGTTGGTGTGACTGGAGGATGCCAAAGACAAGAATTAAAACCTGGGGTTCCCAGCAAACCCTAACTTGTAGCACCCACGGGTGCTTTTCCAGAGATCACTTTTTGGCACTCACCTCTTAGTCTTATTAGAGGAGGAGACAGGGGTGGAAGGGAGATCAGAGCCTAACTGCTGCCCAGCAGTTCAGGTCTTCAGCTGGCGCCCGAGCAACCAGTGTGTCAGACTTAGCCATCAGGCAGCATGTACAGCAAGGTCGAGAGGAGGTGAAACATGGCTGAGGGCCAGCAGCTAACAAGCAGAGTGTCAGAGGGCAGATGTGAGCGGGGAGGGAAGAGAGAAACAGGAACGGGCCTGGAATGGCTGCCAGAGCCGAGGGAAGAAGACAAGAGCAGGCTCGCTTTGTTTCCCTTGGGCCTGTGGGGCTGCCTTCCTCCATGGCTGGCTCACATCCATGCCTTTCCTCTGATCCTGTGTGGGTGCACTGGAGCACACACACACACACACACACACACACACACACACACACGGATGCAGAAAACCCTGTAATCGGTCCCGAGACCCTTACACCGAGTCCCAGCTTGTGGTGTGAGAGATCTGGAGTCTGTGATTGGAACATCTGTCGCCTAAGGTCCTCAGGCCTGTTTCCTCACCAGTGAAAGAGGGACCTTTTAATTGCTTGACCAAACATGCACAAAGCCAAGGGCCAGGGTTCAGAGACTACTCACCTAGGGAGGCCCTGGTTTCTGTCATAGGAATTGGAGGCAGAGGGAGCAGAAGTTCAAAGTCATCCTGGCTACATAAGGATGTTGAGGCCAGGCTAGGTGAGAGACCCTGTCTACAAAGAAAATAGGCAAATCCAGATGACCGTTCCCACAGGCTGCACTGCTCCAGCACCCTCTCCCCACAAACCCCAGAAAAGTCTGGATGGCTGGGCACATGACCGGGCAGCAGAGAATGCCTGTGTGCCTCTGGCGGGCCGGTGGGGCGGTTCCCTTCCAGTTCAGTGAATGGCAGAAGCTCGTGGAAGGCAGTAAACAAAGAACACGGGGACAGGGGAGCTTCCAGAGAGGCCCGTGACCAGGCCATGGGGATGCTGGGACTGGCAACCAAAAGCCACTGGATCCTGTAAACCCGCCAGGCACCGCAGAGGCAGGGAGGATGATGAGCGAGAGGAGAGTGGCAGTGGACTTGCCCCCGGGAGCCAACGCCAGCATGCCCCTCCAGAGGCACAGGGTGCCATCCCTCAGGGGAACACGATCGCCATCCTCCCTGGAGAGTCCCCCAGCCTCCAGGACCGGTGCTGTTGGGAGCCTCGTCCGTGCCCCTGGGGTCTACGTAGGAGTGGCACCCAGTGGCTGCATAGGTGGCCTCGGTGCCCGAGTGACACGCCGGGCCCTGGGCATCAGCAGTGTCTTCCTGCAGGGCCTACGGAGCTCAGGCCTTGCCACTGTGCCGGCTCCAGGCCCAGAAAGGGAGCACGCTGCCGTGGAGGACCTGGGGGGCTGCCTGGTGGAGTATATGACCAAGGTTCACGCCCTGGAGCAAGTCAGCCAGGAGCTGGAAACACAGCTGCGGGCTCACCTGGAGAGCAAGGCCAAGCGCTCTGGAGGCTGGGATGCCCTCCGCACCTCCTGGACCAGCAGCTACCAGCAGGTAGGTCTGGCAGCTGTGCCTGGAGGCTCACTGGGGCGGGGGTGGGGGATGCTGAAGGCAGCAGGGAAGGTAGCGAGTGACCCGACGCCAGGAACGCTGACTGCCTTCCTACCGGAACTGCTGGTGGGCTAATGGTAACATCAGCTGCCATGCACTGGAGCCGATGGATCCCCTAGGCAGAGTACGAGCACCACCCCAAATACATCCCAGCAACGCTCTGCAACCCGTCTCTCACCGAGTACACTTCTCAGATGAGAAAATTAAGTTGCGTACATGACCCCAGTTCACAAGCTAATAGAGCAATGGTTCCCGACCTGTGGGTCACAACCCCTTTGGAGGTCACATAGAGATAACCTCCATATCAGATATTTATATCTCGATTCATAACAGCAGCACAATTACAGTTATGAAGTAGCAACACCATAATTTTGTGGGGGGGGGGGTCACCACAGCACGAGGAGCTATATTAAAGGGTCACAGTGTTAGTGAGGTTGAGAACCACGGTAATAGAGAGACGCCGCAAATAATCTCAACCTGGCTTTTCTTTTCTCAAAGTTGCACTTGTCCTATTATCTAGGACTGCCTCCGTCACGATTACTGTAAAGGGTTTTCAAGCCATCATAGAACCCAGTGCCATTGAATGGATGTACTATTTTAAATGACTAAATGAAGGGGTGCCCCTGTACCTGGAGATAATGGGAATATGGGTTCAATGGGAATATGGACCATATTGGTAATTTTCAATTTCCTATTACCAATGGTGAATGAGGGGGTGTATGTGGGGGAGGGGAGCATGGATGTCTGTGTGGGTATGAACAGGTGAAGTTGATGTAAATATCTTGTTTAACTCATTAGAGCAAAAATTATTTCAGCCTGAAATCAATATAAAAATATCAGCACAACAGTTCAAATTCAAATAGAACTTTATGGAGGATGAAATTGTTTTTATAGTCTTGGCTGTCTGTTGTGTGGCTTTCTCCTGGGAAGACATGAACACATGTACTTTCACCCCAGAAAGGGCACTACCAACAGATCAAAGATTCTGCCCAAGTCTAGCCTGGTGATCAATGAGTTCATTGGGGCTACTGAAGTGTGGGTGAGGGGTTAGTTAAAGGAGCATGACTGAATCAAAAACTGCATCCTGAAAAATGCACGGGTGATGGGTGTGAATCTTATAGCATTCTAAGCCTTCTAAGTTTCCTTAAGCTTCCTGGATCTTAGGAACCACCCTCCTGTCTCCCAAAGGGACAACACTTCAATTCAGAAGAGCTACACAACATCATCAATGGCTACTGAGACTGAGGACCTGACATTTTTGTTCTCCTTGGACTTTATTCCTTCTCATCACATATAACCTCCTCTCCCCATCGCCTGGCCGGGGCTGCTTCCTGTTCTGAAATAGTTTCTGCACAGCTCTAAGCTCATCCATCAATTGTGCCGGCAAGCTCTGGTTCCAGGCCTGGAAGCCTACTGGCATTCTGGCATTGCCTGTCTCAATGGCTCTCTCAGTGGGGAGCCGACTTATCTTTCCCCTTCCTCCCGAAATACTGGATTTGGGATGCCTGCAAACTAAATCAGTCTCTAATCGAGTCAGAAGCAGCCAAATCCCATCCATTCCCTGGAATCAGGCATGCAGTCTAAGAGCAGGTTACAAATGGTCCATGTGTGATTGGGTGATGGCAAGTCCCCCATTTCATCCCATGATGCTTCTCTTTCACTCTTCTCAGCAGTCCAGAGAGGAGAGGGGTACAAGGCTTCACTTCTGGCTGGCGCAGCTGTTCATCCCATATGCCTCTGAGTTATGAGGGAGACCTTAGAGTGGAGACACCACAAGTCTCTTGATTTCAAATATGCATGACATATAAACCCCTAGAACATCCCAGACACTCCATCTCAGCAGCACTTTCTCAACAAGAGGATATTCAGATGCCACACACACATGCCAGGCGGAACCATGCATTACAATGTCGAAGTTAGAAAATTCAGCCCCAAAGCCTAGTGAGCACAAAAGCTTCTACAAAACACGAGCCTCAGTTTCTCATCTATAAACTGGATTTAATAATGTCTATATAACCCAGCAACTCTATAACCTATAGGCTAGACAGCTGTAAAAATACCCCAACAGAACAGCCATGAAGAAGAGACCTATGACTTCAGCTTCTGTTCCCACTGGTCAAAATCCAAAATGGCAGCCATTTTCCTCTAAAAGCATCTACTGGTGAATTACTGGATGTGAACAGACACACACCCCCTTTCCTCCTGCCCGTTCACCTCATTGTTATGATTCATTCTCTGATTCCTCAGCCTCAGAACCACCCAGGCCCTTTGTCCAACTAAGCAGTGAAAACAAGCTAAAAATATCCCCGGGGGTGAGACCAAAGGGGCCTGGGTACCCGACTGCCTCCTTGTCCAGCAGGAGGTGGCTCTGTGCGTCCTTGCTCTGCTCTCTTGAGTTTTCATATCAAATGGGTGATGCCAATAACTAGCTCTGGGAGCTGCACCAGATCCTTTTGTCCTCGACAGCCAATCACAAGCTTGCACTAGGAGATTTCCCTGCGCCCAGCTGCAGATAAAACAGCAGAGAGGCGCTTCCGGTGTAGTGAATGCCAGTGAGCCTGGAGCGAGCAGAGCCGGGAGCCAGGGTGAAGGAGAAACTGCCCAGGGAAGAGACCTGGATGTAGAGCTTTATTTGGAGGAGGGAGAGTGGAGTCTCCACAATGAGAGGGCGAACAGAAATGAAAATTATCGAAAAGCCAAAGGATCGGGGTTCTAAGTGGCTTGTCACGAACCTAGTTTTCTTCCTTGGAGAGACAGCCTATACTTGGGAGATGTTTCTTTCTGGAGAAACTGCTAGAAACCTGAAGCTGTGGGCCTGGTATCACAACCACACAGAGAACTAATCTCAACCACTGGGTGAAAAAGGCAATGGGGGTCAGATCAGCATCAAGACTGGCAACCCTGAAAGGAGGGTTGTCTCTGAAAGGAGGCATGAGGAGGAGAACGGAACCCGGAGCTGTTTTAATGTCTACAAAAACCTGAATGTATTGGGGGGGAGGAACCATTGCTTTCTTTTCCGGTCCTGGTTTAATGTGCGCACACTTGTGTGCGTGTGTGGCTTATTTGTTAATACAGGGTCCTGGCTAGAGTGGCAACTACTGTGTAGCTCAGGATGGCCTCAGGCTGGCAGCCATCCTCTTGTCTCCGCCTCCCAAGTGCTAAGATTACAGACTTGCACCACCATACCCAAAATCAGTCCATCTATTTCTTATAAAATGTAGTTTGCTTGGCAGGGAAGACTGGGGCTGTGGCGCTGCCAGCTAAGCTTGGTAGGACCGCTACAGTGTGGTTCAAAACGTCATGACACAGAAGTAAACATTTGGGAAAATTCTTAGGAACAGGGATGAATAAGGTCGGAAGAAGATTTCTGCAGGTCAGGGGAGGGAAGGAGGCATGAGGCTGCTACTTGGGATGTTTTCTAAGAAGGGAAACTTGTGATTCCCCAAGGGCTCCTGTTTTGTTACATAGTGTGTATATGGAGAAAGAATGGCTGAAGAAAGCACAGAACAAATTAAGAACAAACAAAAAACCTCAAGCACCTCTCTTCAAGCCCTTCTCACACACCCCACTCAGTCACTTTTAAATCTCTTATGATACCTTACAGTGTAAGGCTCATGTTGAAGAATGGGGGGACAAGTTGGTCCATGTAATGAAAAGCAGATGTGGTACAAAAACTAAGGTCTTTGAAAGCAAACAGTCCCAAGGCCAAGCTCAGACCCTGTGCTGTCTTCTACAATGATATCTGTATATCTCAGTCTCTCGTAATAACAAGGATGTTGGGAGATGTCTTTGACATGATAAAATATCTCTAAAGAGGATGCACTAGAAGCCCACTGCTGGGATTAGAATTGAGGAAATGCTATGTACTGTATGTGCTACCCTCTAATGCCAATTGGAGTCGGTGGCCTGTGCTATTAGAACCTAAAAAAGACAAGTGTAAGAATTACAAGGAAAGAGAAAATGTTGGTTCTTCCTAGAAAACCCAGAGAGTGCAATGTGAAAATTATACAGCAATAAGCTCTAATTAAGTCACAAGTTACAGAATTTCACCAAAAATAATGTCCATATATATAAACAAAAAAACATGTAATTGAACTGAAATTTTCATTTATCATGCCATACACTAAAATGCCTTTCTCTAGAGAAACTTAAGGAATATCCAAATTCTATAATGAAACAATGATATAACCCTCCTGAAAGACACAACAAGTCTTGAGCAAATGGAAATAAGTGCCATGTACTCAGACTGAAAGACCCAGGAACTTAAACAACAACAGCCTCCCTGAGTTAATTTGCCAATTTAATGCAATTCTAATTTTTATGCCAATTTCTTTAGCCATCAGCTAAATAAGCTGAGCATAAATGTTATTTGCAGGAACAAAAAGGCACAGAGAAGAAGAAAAAGGAGGAGGAGGAGAAGGAGGAGGAGGAAGAAGGAGGAAAGAAAGAGGGAAAAAGAAAGAAAGAAAGAAAGAAAGAAAGAAAGAAAGAAAGAAAGAAAGAAAGAAAGAAAGAAAGAAAGAAAAACAGAATGAGCAGGAGGATACTAAAGGGGTGCAGCTGCATCCGACACTTAAACATATTTAGCAGGGCATGGTGGCAAAAGCCCGTAATCCGAACACTCAAGAGGCAGGACTGTGAGTCTAAAACCAGCTTCAACACACCAAGGGTCTAGGTAGGTAGGTAGTAGCAGAGCAGCTGCCTGGCATGGGCCAGCCTAGATTACAGCCCCACCACCACAACAAACAACAGGAAGGCAGGGATGCCAGGCCTTAATCTGGTTTTGGTCATCTCCTGGTTACCTATAGGCTCAAGGAGAGGCTGTTTTAGCAAAGCAGCCCTTCCCATTTCTCAAAGGAATGTAGGCAACTGGTCTAGGCCACACGTTGGAGAAGTTATCTCTAAAGGAGCCAATGGAAGTTAATAATGCGGTGCTCAGCTGT